AAAGATTATTATAAAACATGTATGTTTGAAAGAAAAATTGAAATGCTATCTGACTATATTCTATACTTATGTCTAGTCTTATATGATAAATGTTTTAATACCACATGATTATATGAGATAGTGTTTAAAAGACAGCTTTGTCTTCATGGGTTAAGGTGTGTCAAACATGATAAGTACAAGTACAAATGATGCTGCAATTCAGCAATTGAGAAGCTTCGCGCAAAATATGCGCTCATAACAGAAACCTTACCAAATCATTCCTACACACAGGTCATTTTATAATCAGATTAAGTACTATTGTACATTATTCCGGATGTTTTGTAAATCATTTAAATTTGCATAAGTATACTTATCGTATGCACTGTCCATGAGAGAAGGGCCAGATATCAAATTTTAAAAAAAATATGCTTTCCCAGATGCCTACCTAGTAAGGAAAATAATTTCAATACAAAAAGACTTACAAGACTTATACTGTGACATGACAGCAGTGCAACATTGTTCTGTTTGTCTCACTACTGTAGTCAGTAATATAAGATGATAAAAAAATATCAAAGCATGTACATTTTCTTTTTCACCTATAATGTTACATTTTCTACAAATATCAACACCTAATCATGGTAAGAAATATAAAAATCCATATGTAAATAAGCACAAACAAAAACTTTCATCGACTCTATTTTTCAAAATGTCTGTTACATGTTTCGCAGCAAATGGTTTATCATGATATAATAAAAAAAAGCATTGACGCAAAGCATCAAAGGGTGTCCAAGCAAGGAATGCAACAAGTGACGATGAACTTTTCTTTTCAATGGTTAATTGGATTTAACCAGAATTGTATGTATCACAGATGAATGGGTAGACGAAAGACATTGTTCATCATCATGAAGGCTTCATAGAGATTAAAATATTAAATGTATTTTCTTTGGAACATACAAAACAGTAGTCAAAATAAACAAAGTCTGTTTTATTTTATTATTATACTTGTAACAAATGTACAAACATGGTAACAAAAGGGACTAATATAGTAATATTACATGCATATTTTTTTATATCAAATTAAAAAAATTGTTTCTATTAATACCTGGGATTTAAGATTAGTTTTAACATATTTATTGCATAAAATAAATGTTTACAAACATATTATTCAAATAATGAGTATATACCAAAATGTAAATGAGTTTGGGAACAAGTTCTTATACAACATTAGATAAAGCCCTTCCCAGAAATTAATATTACAGAAGAAAATACTATTAAGGCAACAATGATTACTTTTAACTTGTATATAAGCTTTAAAATATGTATTTGATTTTTAACAGTATATTTATTTTTATCAAAATTTAATGTGCAATTTTTATTTTGATACAATTTTGACTTAAGATACAGTAGTTATATTTCAGGTCGTAGATAAATACTGAAAGAAGAACACACACTAAAATGAAAAGTTGGGATGAATTTCAAAATGACTAATTTCAGGATTTTTTTGTCATACGCATTAACAAAAATAATGGTACAATAAAAATCATGAATAAAATGGCATGTTGATATGGTGAAACATTATTTTTGAATATAATGGAAGACACCTGAATTTTAGACAGGAAAGCTATTGTTAATTGATGTATTGGGAGATCAACATCAAAAATTTGGGAAATCTGGATCGATTTAAATATCCACGGTAAATTATGTTAGACGTACAATCAGGGGAGCTATTAATTTACCGGAAAGTACCTATGGAAAAGATAATACTATGATAAAAGAATTCGTAGAAACGGCCTACTTAAATTTTTTCAATAAATTTATAAAGATTTATTGTTGAATATGTTTGCATTTCATTTCCTGCAAAATTATCCAGTTCGTTATTTAATACCATAGCTCGACACGAATGACTGTTTCGTTTAGTTACAGACGCGCTTAACTAAAACTACTTCTATAAACAGCTTTTTGTTCCCGTTCTCACTCATTTATATGATATGCTGCAAACCACCGAAGGGGAAACCAATATATGACTTTACATAATAGAAATCGGAATGAATTCTTCTTTCCGAATATATTTTTAGCTGTAAATCGAAGGGATTAATTGATAAATATCGGGTCCATGGACAAAAAAGTAAACACAAGGCGCGGAGCAGTTAACTTCCCCGATACCTCAGGGGATACTTCAGACAATTTCAAAGTTAACAAGAGCCATGTTAGCATGGCCATCCCCGCCGAATGTGTTTGCTGATTGAAAGAATGTATATGTAGTAGAGCAGAATAATTTAAGTTAAAGAGGTATTTTGGTAATGAAAACTGATGGCTGAAGTGATTACAGATTTGAAACCAATGTGAATACTGATGGCTGTAAATAACAAAGGGCAATAACTGCAAAATAATGCAGGGTAGGTTTATTAAAATTATGAATGGTAGAGTTATCATGCTTGTGCACTGCACACCTCCTGAGTGAGATCTATCCACCCATGAAGTTTCATGTTGATATCTCAACGAGGCGTCTTGAGTTATGCTCTGGACAAAAATTAAGTTTGGAAAAATAACAAATGGCAATAACTGAAAAATAAGGCAGGGTAGGTTATCATTCTTGTGTGCTGCACTCCTTCTCAATAAGATCTATCAACCTATGAAGTTTGAAGTTGATACCTCTATCACTTTTTGAGATAAGCTCCGGACAAAAAGTATGAAAAATAGCAAAGGGCAATATCTCAATAAATCTAAAGGGTAGAGTTATCATTCTGCACACAGCATTCCCCCTCAATAGGATCTATCCACCTATGAAGTTTCAAGTTAACATCTCAAAGAGTTTTTGAGTTATGCACCACTCAGGTGAAAAATTATGTATGAAAAATAACAAAGGGCAATAACTCCAAAATTATGAATGCTAGAGTTATCATTCTTATGCATGCACTGCACACCTCCTCAGTGAGATCTATCCACCCATGAAGTTTCATGTTGATTCTCAAAGCCTTTTTGAGTTATGCATTGGACAAAAATAAAGTTTGAAAAATAACAAATAGCAATAACTGAAAAATTATACAGGGTAGAGTTATCATTCTTGTGCACTGCACACCTCTTCAATATGATCTATCCACCTATGAAGTTTCAAGTTGATACCTCAAATACTTTTTGAGATATGCTCCGGACATAAAAAAATGTCGCACGGACGGATGGACGGAAGTTCTCACAGGACAGTAATTATGTGGCTACTCTATTGTTCTCTCTATTGTTCTTTTTAGCCACACAAAAGAAAATAGCCACATAAAAGCATTACGGAATGAATGACATCGAAGAGAAAGAACAGTTACCTATTGTCCCTCTAGCCACATAATTACTCTCCTGTGAGTGCGGACGGACGGAAGGACGGAGACCATTTCTATATAATAAGTCTACTATGGAAGGTCTAAAATACAATTGATAATTACGCTTATAGTATCAAGTATCAAAGAAACCAACCACGAAATAATTGTTAATGAATGTTATTGGCAAGTGTGAGATATATGATCCGATATAACGTATATTTATATATCAGATAATAAAATATAGATAATATAGTGTTTTACAATATTTACCTCCGTTGCCAAAATTGTAGCCATTTTGGGGGTAGATATTCTATATAAGTATGTTTGTTTAAAAAGAAGCATTCGAGAAGTAATTTTGCAACTGTGGAAAAACTTTTTTAATTGTTCAAATGACTGGAAAGTAATAATTTCTGATTGGTCGAATTGCATCTGCAGTCAATAGCAACATATGGGCTATTTCCATCAGTCTCCCGATTATATAAGCCCTAATTGGGAATAATGGCGAGATGTTTAGGAATGAAAGGAGTCTTTTTGTTACTGTTCCTAATTGTTAGTGTATTAATGAATCAATTTACACGAAATTAAGTTTTAAAAACACATCTAATCATGCGATTTCATTTTCAGATTTGCAACAACAGCTTTGTGGAAAAAGTACGCGAAACAACGTTGTTTCTTCTCGAGTGGCATTCATTTCGTCTCTTAGTGTATTTGTGTTGCTCTGTAAAAAGAAATAAATATGCACATTAACTTTCAGTATCACATATACATATACAATGTACATTGTATATGCAATAACGCATATGAAAACAAACATCTTTGAAAAATTCATTTTTCGTGAGTAATTATTCCAGGAAAGAAATTCCTATATTTCTTAAACTTTTTGGTGTGTAATTCTTTCTGATTAATTCAAGATACAAATATCCCACAACTTTGGTTTTTAATATTCTTTTAACCATCTTACTACTATGTTTACGTTTAAGCCCTAATTGTTCTGAAATTCCATACAATATATGCATTATAAATGGATAAATTGGAAATCTGTCTCTTATCACCATGGGAGGTCAATTCGGCAATTATTACGAAATACAACATTTTCTATCCTGTAAATCTATTATACAAAGTAGTATGAATTCAAGAAAAAGTAGCCTTCAGACATTAAAATTTTTTATGAAAATATAAGTTTTAATGGGTGTTGAATTTTAAAAATCCTATCGCTTTTGAGGCCTGTATAATCTAACGTACATTATTCTGAAGTGTTTATTTTGTTGAGTAATCGAGTGTTTGTTTGTAACGCGCGTGTAAAAATGCGATGGTTTGATATTTGAAAGAATGATAAATTCATCGATTACCGTATTTTCAGCGGACCCAAACAAGTTTCTCGAATTTCTTTCTATTTTCCTTTGAAAAAATGTGACCAAAGATTAAGACCAATTTTCTAGTTATCATTTGAAATACTTTACTCGAATGATACATGGACAATACCTATAATGTATGCATCGTTATTTACAATTATCAGCTTAATCCAAAATAAAATTAAGATATAAAATTTAGTTTTGCATGCATTACTGTAGCTTAAAATTAAATTATAATTGCAGTAACGGTCAATATTCATTAGAATTTATGTTAAGGGTTTTAAATACACATGAAGTCTATTACACAGTAACACGTGTAAAAAAGACCAATTACCTTTACCAAACCTCGTAAGCGGCTGTTGAACAACGCAATTAGCAGATTAAGAACCAAGATAGTAAACAAAGACACATAAGTGTATATAACAATTCTTGAAAACGCATAAATACTAGTTGTGCTCCCAACATACTCTTCTTGTAAATTGGAGAATGTTGCAAATATTTCATCTCCGTTGATAATTGAAAATAAAAGTTTCTGCTGCGGTTGACATCTTTTGAAACTGAACAAAAAGTAATAATGGAAACTCTTGGTACATTATATTGCACTTCCAGATCTTATTTAATCCTAAAAATTAATTTTGGATTCGTAAACAACTTCATAATATTAATTAAAATTTTATTACAAAGAAAGTTAACGTTAAAGAAAAATAAAAGAATGTATTTCAAAGACATTCGGGTTTATAAGTACTATTTACAATATGAAGTGTATGATTTGAACTAAACTAAAATGAAACATATTTACCTTAAAGTGGTAGGGACCAAGGACAATGTAACAATACAACCAGAATCCAATAAAGATAAGTACTACCCAGATTAGAAAAAGGATTAAATCACCAGCTGCCCTCTGAAGTGTTTTGATTAGAAGCTGAAAATCGAAAATGAACTTGGCGTATCATTACCGTTTTTCGGCATTGAAAATGACCACTGAATGTTATCTTTAGAGTGTTCTAAGGAGAAAAGATGCAAATCTTATTTCTATTATAAAACAATTGTGACAACTTTGTTCACACAAAAAGGTCAGCATCGACAAAAAATACTTGAGAGATAAGTATATTTATGTTATTACTTTACAATTATTATAGATGTTTAACTCTTAAGCTTAAATGTGTAGGTGTACTTTATCTAAGTAAATGTTTTTGGAGTGTTATGCAACAATCACGGATTGTTGATAATCATAAAGCACTTGTTTGTTTTGAAACACAGTGGTGCAATGTAAAACAAAACAAGAATATATGTCAGACAATATAATATTTTGCGTTTAAACAAGACACATGAATACTGATCATAAAACCTAAACATGACAGAAAACTGAATGGTTTATGTCAATAAATGTTTCTGTCTGTCTGACTGTCCTAAACATTGATCTAATTCAAATACATGTACAACATAAAATAGCTTACGGTAAATTTTTTGTGTATTCTGAAGAAACGTACAACTGAAAACCAAGTTAAAAGACATCCTGATCCTAGCAAAACAAGGTTATTATCCCACTTACTCAACAAAACGCGCTCTTCTTCTAACTGTTCTGTTAACTACAAAGGTATAAAAAAAGTTCAAATATGAAACAACATACAATCATTCTAAAAGCGTTAAAATTGTAGCAAGTATTATTTCTATTATTTTCATTATGTTCAGTCATGTCGCTTTATATTTCTGTAACTTAATGGTTTCAAATATCATCAGGAGGATAATGAAAATGTTGATATGGAAATGACGTCAACGTAAATGAATACAGGGGACGCCACTCTAAGTGACAGTTTTATTTCTCATTTAACGGGTTTCTACGTAATGAAAATAACTCTTGAAAGCGTTCATCTGAGATGACCTAACAAATGACAGAAGCTTGTAAAATATGTACTTACCATATCCGATATCCGATAAATGCCAACTATAGAACAAATACCACCTGCTACAGACACGAGATTCCACCACTGAATATTGCGAAAGCATTCAGTATATGGGTACGATTTAAACCTCCAAATATACTGTATTAATGTAAAAGAAGATTTAGTAAAGTTTTCAAATGTTTTCTATAAACGTTTCCCTAAATTGTATCGATTTAATTGGAAATTTTATGTACTTAGTTCAAATGCTCCATATTTATAAAAAAACAGCAACAACAAGAAAAATCTACCATAACAAAACAAAAGAAATAGAATTCAATGATATAAATCTTTATATTGCATATATAGTATTTGGATGTGGTAATTTACAAATGCGCTAGTTTTGTTAAGATTCAAAAATCAGATAATGCCGGGAAAATATAACTCTTACCGCAAGTATGATTAGTCCAAGAACAAACGCTACAAAGTCTTCAATTGATGTTAAAAATGCAAATACTATAACTACATCTTTGTTGTCTACTTCACATTGCTTTTGGACTGGAAAACAGATTTGTTTAGAATTAATTATTATTACTGCATTTTTATGCTAGGCAGAATTTGTTCTATTAAGCTCAACTCGTTTTATTCATTCATAACAGCCAATGATCACTTTACACCATGAAACTGGCAATGATATAATTAGATTGACTTTTTATTATTTTTAAAATCCGCTTTGATAATAAATTGTGACGTATTAACTTATGCACTTTGTAACATTTTGGACGGAAGAAGTCTGATAATAAAATACACATATGAGCACTTCTCTATTTCGCTTCATTTGATGTACTATATAATTTGCAATTTGTTATTGAAAAAAACAAACAAACAAAAAACTATAAGTGATTTGGAAACTTTAGTCAGACAAGAATTTTCTTAACTTTGACAGATACGACGCAAATGAAATTGTTTTATCGAGCATTTTTACTACAAAAATGTTATTCCAAAAATTTTATTCTCAAGAATTATTTTATACGAACATCCAATGGCACGTTTCTATTACTGTTATCAATATTAGAATACTTAAGGAAATTGTACCCGTTGTAGACTAATCCGCCTTCCAAATAAAGTATTTTTCATATCTTTCCCCTGTCCCATCTTATGTAAATTTGTTCAAAATCCCTTTGGCCCGAAAGATTTAAATGCAAAACAGACATGGGTCTTTAAATTAATCCCATTTTAATGTAAATGCCCAAAATGGGTTTTTCCTTTTAAATAAGAGGTGGTTTAAAAAAAATTGAAACCCCAAACTTTTTTTCGTTTTTTTAAAATTTTCAGCTGCAAATAAAAGGGAAATTAAATTTAGCAAAATTTTATGGGTCTCGTTGCATTTTAAAATCCAAATTTTATGGAAAGGGAGTTTAGATAATTTGTTTGGGGGAAAAAATTGCCTAAAAAGGACCTCTGGAAAAAGGGGGAAAAGTTGATAATAAACACAAATGTAAACTTGTATTGAATTCTTTATAAAAATTTTGTGATGTTAAAAACCAAAACAGACAATTCCGGTTAGTTCACTAGAATATCCTTGAAGCAACATATTTCTGGAATTTGCAATAAGTTCACTTTAACTTTTTTTTAAATTAAGTTTGCAATATAAATATACCAATAAAGGGGAAACAATTGTGATCATATGTATATCTTTCCACAGAAAATTTCCAGCAGACAATCACACTTTATCCAAATATTGATCCTAATGATTAAATTGATCCTTATTTAGGTCCAAATATGTTTGTAGTTGTTTTGTTATTTGTTGATTTCATCCAAAATAGTTTGGTTTCTTTGCAAATCAGCAATTTTTTTATATTTTGAATATTTACCATTTAATTCTACCAAAAACAATTAATTTTAGTAACATAAATTAATGCAAATAAAATCAGAATCACTTGAACCTGATCCTGATCTTTTTTTAGTGAACATGGGCTCTGCTAGTCGACGTCAGTGTCGGCGTTGGCATCACAAGTTTTGTTAAGTTCTGTTTGTTTCACTTTTCTCTAAACCCTTGAAATAATGCTTTGAAGTTTTGTATAATTTGAACATCTATCTTTTTTTGTATCTCCAACAATATACTACACTATAACCTTTTAAGGCCAGTGAATTCATCTTCACGTCTTTGTAAATGATATACTTCTGTCGCAGATTTTAACAAAAAATTACTATCCTTTTTTCAAATTTGGTTATTTTTTATATACAATCTTAAAATTGTATTAGTCTGATCATTAAAGTAGTTTTTTTATAACTTGTAACTTGTTCTTATTCCTGTCAAGTATTACTTTTGACAAAAGCATTCAAGGACAAGTCTTTTTCAACTTCAAGTACTTTCAATTGTGAAAATTGTGAGAAATACTGAATTCAAAAATGAACTTACTGTTGGTGGACCATTGACATTTGATTGGAAAAGTAAGGGTCGTTAACTTGATCACAACCTGTCCATTATTGTCGTTGTTTTTAAATGAAACCTTGAATATAAACAAAACACTATTGAAAATATACAAAGAATATCATTTGGAACTCAAGCGAAACAATATCGCTTAATTTGATTTAATTATATTTTCTTGTTTAATAGCTAGCAAAAGAATATTTAAAGGTACATATAAATCATATTGTACATAGCAACATTTCTTGTGTTTCTGTTTACTTACATTTCCATCAATATTAAGGCATCTTGTTTGTTTGTTTTCCAAGTCTACTTTCAGTGAATAAAGTGCAAACTTCACATTCAACATTAACATCCTAAAACATATAGTGTGATAATGTTATTAATATCAGTATATTTTAGCAAACAATGGCAAGTTATTTATATAAGAAAGACTATTCTCGGATTATTTTGGGGTTTTTTTATCTTTTTTTCTCGCCGATTTCAGTATACCTTATCGGCTTTCTTAAATAACTAACCCGTAACTACCAGTTATCTTCGTATATGACCGTCAACTTATCCCATTAATTTCAGAATCAGACTAAAACCATTGAAAGACCCAATGTCCAAGGTCAAATTATGCAATTTTCTGTCTAATGGTAAAAGCTATTTGTGTTTACATTTTTTTGTCCATGGACCCGAATTTTATCATTTAATCCTTTCGATTTACTGCTATCGGATACAAAATAACGAAATAATCCTCTACATTCCCTTTATGCAATCTCATGAAGCAGATAGATCGGTCATGATTAACCACGGGTAGTTTTACAAGTGCTTTATTTCACTCGGGTTTAAATGTGGCTTTATTTTCTTATCATACCACTTTCCCTTTTTGATTTTTATAGTTAGATAATATCATATTTGTGAACGATTTTTCGATCTCAGTTAATATCAGATATTGCAAGGATGAAAGCATCTCTGAGCATGAATTATAACATACAAGTGCATATGCTGCAACAACATGCACAATTCTTAATAAACTTTGTGCAGTATTGTATTGAATATAAATATGTTCAGTAAAAAGAATACATGTGCGTGCACATTAACATTTTCAAGGAATTTATATAGTAACATTATCTTTCTCAGCGGTATTAAGGTTTAATAATCAATGTTGTTTTCCTTATACATTTACTGGACGGTCAAATGTAAACAAAATCAACCTTAATTAATTATCTTAATTGATTTTAAGACTGATACTAGGAATCTTTCACCGGCTTCCGATACACAATATCTTAAGCATATTTAATGAACGAACAAAAACCCCCATACGAGTGAACCACAAAAGGTGTAGGAGTTCTTACTGGACATATACTAAAGTTGATAACAAAACATAAAATAAATCGACTTTTGTAGGGTATATATATATTTTAGATATCCTAGACTAGAGCTATGTTTTACTACAGTCATGTCACATTACATGTCTTGTTTTGTACCATTGTTTTGTATTAGATTTTTTTCTTAGCAGGAAGGAATTTGTGTAAGCAATTTTTAAAAAATTAAAACCTGGCCCCTCTCTCGTGGAAAGTGCATACGCGTTAACTATAATTGATTTACATAACATTCGGAATAAGGTCCTTTGGTAACCTAAATAGTAAATGACCTATGAGCAGGAAATATTTGGCAAGGTGGTCCGTCATGAGCGCATTTTTGCGCTGAGCTTCTCAATTGCTGCATTGCAGCAACATTTGTAGTTGTACACTATTTTATTGATATGAGTAAAGGTTTGATAGTGTATATAGAAAAGGATTATGTGTTAATTTAAAACTGTTTAAGCAAGGAATATCTGGGAAAATGTCATTCATTGTTAAAGCAATGAATGAACATTATAAATGCCAATTTGACACTGCAGTCAGTAATACATGTAAACTTTATAGAAAAATGTGTTTCTCCTTCAAGCAAGGAGAAATGTACTTAATACTGTGGTCACTTTTTATAGAACATGGTTCGAAACCCGATAGTGGCCCAGATATAAATACATTATATTATAGTAAAATGCTGACGATAAGATTATATTTGCAACGAAAATAGAAGGTGGACACTCTTAAATCTTACTGTGATCGTTTAGATCTTACAGTACATGATCCGAAAGCAAAAATTATGGTATTCCGGAGGCGAAACACTGAGGGATATTTTTTAGCACTGTGTACGTTAAATGAATGGTTCTTTAAAATCTAATGGTTCTTTAAAATATTTTATTGTTTGGATGTAGTTTTCGTCACGAATGGTAATTTCAACTTTGACTAAAATTATTATGTGAAAAAGTGTTTTCAAGTCGTTAATCTACCTGTACATAATATTAAATGACAACTATTCAATTAATTTGTAACTTCCATATGAATGCAGTCAAAAATACGGTTATTCAAAGTCAAACGCACTTGAGAGAAAACAAATGAAAATCATTCTGTAAATGACTGTTGTGAGTAAAAATGTTAACGAGTAAAGTGGCAGTGTATAGAGAAATATTTTGGAAAAATAAGGTTACCTTTGAAGAATAGATGACAGATTTCTTTTTACCAACTCTTTGGTAACATCATACTTATATTCTGTTAAGTTATCTTTGTTTGTAAAAGTTGATAATCCAAAGTTTGGCTCAAATCTTTGTATTCCTGTAATATGTTTAAGAATAACTTTTGAAATGATAGTTTTTATTAGCTTTGGGGAGGGACAGCTAATTTTTACGGAAATTGGGTCAGGTAGGCAAAATGCTGGAATAACTGACAACACATCAGAATTACTCAATGCCAAAATAAAACGAGTTGTCAGATATAACCACTCGCGTGAAGCTTCTGATAGAAATAGTTCCTAGTTTTCAATTTAAACGGTGTATAATAATAAGCATTTTGAAAATGCTTGGAATCACAGTTAAATGGGAACGTTCGAGGTTTTGGGTGGTGGATTTTTATTAAGAGTTGAACTACATTTTAATGTGTGACCTTATTACAAATGCACTCCTTATTTTTTGATTGGGAAATATGTTTGGTTTAAACATATTTATTTATGCTCGATTGCGAAACAAGTTCTTGCAACTTATATTAATCACTTTCGAGTCCGCTTCCTGGAACCAACCAGTACCTGTGTCTTATGGAGAAACATGGTCGTAACCCGAGTAGGGCTCGAACCATTGATCTCTGGATTGAGAGGAAGACACCTTAACCATTAGGCCACCCCTTGTTCAACTGACGGAAGCACCTGTATTTACAGATCTCGAAGTAAAAATTGATAATTAGTCATTTTAATCTAATGTCCTCCTCTTAAGGTCATTTTCAAGAATGTTTAAGTATAATTAGCGCCTTTAGTACTAAACCTGTACCGGTGCATCATTTCAGTGTCGGTCATTTCATGTTAATGCGAGGTAAAGCAAAACTGACGTTTTCTTCTTACAGAAACTAGCATAATAGCAGTCATCTTTGATCCTTGTTTTAGATTTTAACAGAGGTTTAAGCGTCGACGGATGTAGCTGTGAAAGTGGCTGTTACAGTGGGTCTTAAATTTGAGCAAAACGATTAAATTTAACTGTGCGTTAATGGATTAAACGGACGGTTAAATTAAACAAAGCTTTTAGAAACTGGCCTCAGATATATACGTATCTGACAGGCGCAATAGTCCTTTTTACGTCAATTGTTGTCTACGCTCATATGTAAGGTAATCTAGTTTATACGATTGAGTTGGAAGCTATAATCCTATTGAAACAAACTGAATCCGTTCCTGAAACCAACCAGTACTAAGCAATTACTCAAGGAAACAACGGCTTGTCCCTGACGGATTTGAACCCAGCAACCTTAGATAGGTTCGATGCGTTAACCACTCGGCCATGCCGCTAATTTCAAAGGTTATTTCGCGATCTAGATGGATTTATTTTAAAGTTTTAAATTGTACAAATTCTAAACGATATTCCAATACATCTTGAACCATAGTGTACGTGTACTGTTAATTGTATGATATATATCTACTATACAGCTGGGAAGACATAGGCACACTCTGATAAATGACCAGGTACATTATACTTTCATAATATATTAACAACACTTCTCATAACCAAGAAAACACTACATAAACTACATGTGAATTTACAATTTAGATGTATAGTGAGGTAAGGAAAGTTACAATCTCAAATAATTTAAAATGGAGGCATAATAATTGCTATTACCTTCAAAATCAACCGTTTCGTCTGCTCCATTATGAGCGGTTACAATATTGTAATAATAAATGATTATAGAAACATTTCCACCAGGTAATCTTTCATAATCTCCGTTTGCCTTTGCTTCGATATTGTAAATCTGAAAAAAAAAACATAAACATACTTTTGAATTGAAATTTGAAATTGCAAGAGGTAATACTTAGTTTTTACGAGAGGTGATTCACATTTACCTGAGCACTTTTGAAACCAATATTAATGCACATTTATTTAGTCTTTACAGATTGTTTTACCAAGTATATAACCGTGTACAATATACAATGTATATTGGTTTTAGTTACAAAATGACAAGACGTAGAATAAGTGATTGAGTTGAAGGCAACATGTTAGACTTCGTGAGGAAACAAATACGCACAGAAAAACAGAAAATAATGCAAGAACTCAAAGGAATTGGACATATTTATTCTATTTGGACAATAAATAGTCCTATACATTCAAAAGATTTTAATGAAGTAAGACTGGTAATAACGTGACAAATTAATCCTTTATAAAGGGACAAAACAATGCACTGCTGCTAAAGACGACGTCATCATGAGGATTCGCTGTATGATCAGATCGGCTGATCTTCCAATCCAAAGACAGATAGCAAACAAATTGGGGGTATCTCAGTCAATAGTAAATTGCACCATTTATAAAACGATATGTATGCAACTAAGAAAAAATGCAGGGTTCGTAAGTTAAATTTGAAGCGTGTCCGTTCTTGGCGTTTGTATTTCCGCTTAAATAGTGGGGAATGAATAAACTGTGTCACTTTGATATAAAGGTGGTAGCTATAGTAGAATGCTTGTTTGAAAACGATAGAGGCAAACACTTAAGTTCATTAAGACGGATTCTTTTGTACCTGGGTTTATGGTATGGGCGGTAGTTGGTTACTACGGTAACGCACTGTTGAACATTATCAAGAAGTAAATGGAGGCTCTTTGAAAATTAATTTGTTAGAGCCATTTATGAAAAAGAGACGTTACACGTTTGTTTCCTGGTTGTGAAAAAGAAATTGTGCCCCATCTCGAAAGTGCCTCTAATTAAACGCTACCATGACAAAACAATTCTTTAAAGAACGTAAGATCAAGTACGAGTAATAGATGCCAAGCACCAATGGACTTTGGAATCCAGTTTATCTTTAAACACCAATTACAAAAGCGAAATATATAAAATGTCTTGAATCAGGACAGGGGGACATCTATCAGAGTAAGACACTTGAGAGATGTCTAATGCGATGTAGAATGATTTTGTAAACCCATGGATCACAAATTGAAAATGTGTTACAATCAAATACAAAATTATAGAATACCGTTATTTAAAACAAATTAAAAAGCATTCACATAAGTATGAATTACCTATCGTATTTGATAAATAGATGACATTGAATGAGTGTAGATTCGATACTGACATTATTGAACAAGTCAAAAAATTACATGATGCAGTCCGTGACCGAGTATTTAAGGTCGTTGACTTCCAACCACTTGGCCTTCATCGTTGTTGGTTCGAATTCCGACAGGGACCTTGAATTCTTTCATTTGTGGAAGCTATCCAGCTGGTTACGAACGTCGGTGGTTTTAATCACGTGTCCGATTGTGCCTGAAATAATGCTTTAATACTCTATCAATAATAATAAGGATTTTGATTAAGATTGTAATGCTAAAACCTCTTCTTTTTTTTAATTTCTAAAACAACTTTCCTGTGAAACAGTATAATCAATTCTACTTTTAAGATCGTCAATGGTATAAGAAGCAAATGGTCCGTTAGCTTGAAGATATGGCAAAGTCTGGAAACCTAGAAGAATAAATGACATCAACTTTTCTATCTCCTGATGTCAAAGTCATCATTAATATATTTGTTTTAAATTTACAAATAGTGACACTGTATCAAATAATATATTGTTCGATTATGATAATTAATGTGTTTATAAATTCAAATTTATAAAATATATCAATTTATTAGACTGTTTGAACATGAGATACCAAACCATTACAATTATTTAAATGTTCAAAAATTTTGTTGTACCAAAAAGCAAGTTATTGCTTACTCGTGTCCCAGTCTTTAAGCAATGAGTGCTGTAAAGTTGTATATTCTTCATTCACAGTTGTAGCAAATGTTTCACGGCAATTTCCAATGTTTATTGTCTTTGTAAACACAAATAATCGTAAATTGAAACAATGGAAGTTCGCGTTTGACAATATTGAGTAATTTTTTTATCTATTTTATTTCATTTTTGGCAAAAGAGAAAAGAATCACAATAAACATAGCAATTTCATAACTTTAAACAGCAACTTATAAATTGAAACTGTAAATATATAAGAAAGGTACGATTTTAAAAGCAATTTTTCACGAAACCAAACATTCATTTAAGGAATCAACACAAATCTCTAATAATGTCAACACAGTCATATATAATAATACATAAGTTTGAGCTGAAATAATCGAAGGTGTACTGTACCAGATACTAAAACAGTGATCAAATGTAAATAAATATCATTAAGACATGTCAAAAATGATTTTTTTTATATAAAATCAAAGATAACAGTTGCTTTGTATTATTATAACACAAGTGATTTTAATACTAAAAAATTGGTATGCAATATTCAATTGCAGTATGCCTTTTGTGAGTTTATATCTAATCAGTGACAATATTGTGACCCCTTGGTTCTGTGCCCGCAAACAAGTATCTAACCATTTCAATATTGTAGTACTTGTACGTCTAACTGTAAGAATATACTTGATAAAAATATGCAAACAATCATTTCAGGAAGCAGCTTATAAAATTATTAGATTTTTGTTCATTGTGTGTTGTAACATATATTAAGTCATGTTTGTTCTAAACATTTATACCTGGAATTTCACGCGAGAGGAAATACCTTAAATTTGATCGTGTTCTTTTAAAACTTGTAAATTCATCTTCATTTCATACCTGTATTTGTTGAACAACTGGGCCTCAACTTTGATTCATAATAACTGAATTGTAAAAATTATCCCCCTGCTTTTTGTATTCATATGGAGCGGAAATATTTTGCCTCGATGTCTTTGCAACAAAAAGAGAACCTTTTAAACCTGTTAGTTAATGTCATAGATAGCTTTTGTGATATAATGCATAGTCGCTGTTTGATATATTTATCCTACTAGTAGATTAATCGAAGTTTTACTGTTTGAAAATCAATTTGAATATGAACGCCCACGATTATTTTTCAGTGTATATAATAAAGTCGTTAAATGTGGATATCCATTCGAGGTTTTCTTGCATTGCCTACATACCGTTTAATTTAAGTCTGGTAACCCTCCCGGAAAGTACAAAACCCAGTTGGCTTATACAAAGTAAGTTTTCTGTAAAGAAACAATGATTTTTCCCCTTGGTTTCATGCTCGATTTAATTAGATCGTTGAATGGAAACGGTAAAACAAAATTGGCATTAAATTCTAATAAAGACCAAACTTTTTTTTCGAGCAAAGGTTTAAAATTAGATTATATTTCTTAAATCAGTAATGGTTTAAATGAAAAAGGTAATTTATTTAAGATGCCATTTTAGTTTAATTCAGTCAAGTTTTTACGTTTTTGGTTACATTTTGAAATTTGTAGCTAATTTAAAAATTAAAAATTTTTCAAGATTTGGGTTCCAAAATAAGATGTTCTTTTTTTGGGGAGGATTTTTTAGTTTAAAGAAATGCGATACATTTAAATTTTCTGCCCTTTTTCCAATTTTTTTTTCTTTTTTAAAAGGGCTTTTATATTTGGCATTTTTTGAAAAATTGGGGCTAACTTTTTTTATGGAAAGGGGTTAATATTTTTGGGTTTTTAATTTTTATACATAAAAGGGGCTTTAAGGAAAATAAAAAAAAGCGATTTTTTTTTTTATTGAACTGATTTTGTTCCCGTGGGTTTTTTTGGGGTCTTTTATTAAATTTTGTCAGAAAAACTTACGGAAATGGGCCGTTCTTGGATTTTGGTTTTTCCTTTCTTCGCCCCCCCCCCCCTGAAGAAGTAGGGTTTCGCAGCCGACCGCGCCATGACAAAAGGGGAAAACGTTCCCAAATGTGTGTTTTTCCCCTGTTGATGTACGTAATAAAGATATGAGAATATTGTCAGGAAAGACATTTTAGATTACACCGAGTTATGAAACGTTTAGATGTTATTGTCATGTTTACACGACTTTGGTGTTGTTTCATAGAAAGTTTAATAGCAATGTATATCTACGGCAAAGCAGATAACAAATTTGAAATGTGCATTTATACATTTGTTGTTCTCTTCTCCTTCAGTTATCTTTATTATGGGATGATTAATTTATTTTCGTTTGAGTATAGCGAATAAGGAAATACCGGTAATGAAGGCTTAAAACAGAATATGAAAGAGAAAAAAAAAGAATCCGTTACGAACGCCAAAGTTAAAAAAAAAAAAAAAGCAAAACTGAAAATGTTGCCACATGGTTTGATTTTGATACCGTTTGTGAGCAGCTGCCCAAGCAATGAAAAAAAAATGCAATGCTAAATTTATCACTGCTTAAAAAACTGGAAAACTCCATTCAGTGATAGTAATTAAACTTACGAATACTGTGAGAAAGCCAAGTTTGAATCCGTGAATAACAAACCAAAGACAATGCCAGGTACTCAACTTGCATCCATTTTCTGTCCATTTTATTGGTGAATACACACACAGTCGAAATAGTATAACCAACTATGTCGGAAAATTGATCTGAAATTCACTTTAACAAATGAGGTGTTTGTTTGTCTCGTGACAATAAGCAGGGTACACCAGACATTTTTCATTACGATATATGTTATATTGTAAATATCTCCAAAAGCTTTGAAGAAGCACTAAATACAATCCATTAAATTTTAAAAGAAATCTACAGCTACAGTATGCGTAAACATCACTATATTAAAGCCACTAACCTTGTTGTCTTGTTGATTCAGCCTGTAAAACTTCCATTGAAAAGAAACGGTTACACCCACCTACACGTTAATGCAAATTTTGTATTATCTTGTTTTATGCAAAATTTACCTTTAATAACTAGTATTATATTTAAACAAACAAACTTCAAGGTTTTGGCCTATTTTTAAATAATTAGGGCAAATTTGATCTTTTTCGGTATTGTTTTGCTCACTAAGTGAAACAAAGAGGCGGTTGAACCCGGGTGTTG